GGGTGATTTCCAACCAAGTGAAATAACTGGACGTATAGAAGCACACTATCCTTCTTGGAAACGAAACATCTTCCGCTACTGCGTATCACTGCCAATCATTCTCACGTCTCTGGGCGTGGTACTGGTCACCATGCTGTTGTGTTTTGAGTTTCAGAGGTGGGTGGACGGTATGGAGAATCCTCCTAAGCCACTAAAGTTTGCTCCAAAGATCGCCCTGGCGGTCTGTATTGGCATGTTAGATGACAATTATAAGAAAGTGGCTTATCATTTGAACGATAAAGGTGAGTTAAGATTTCAGCTACAGTCAAATCCCTATCAAGTGACCTTCTAGATCAAAGTCAGTGATTCGCTTTCACAAAGTTACGCAAACCATAGATCTGGGACGAGCCTACTGCTCTTTTTTAACTCATTTCACTGAAAAATTGGACACTTGTTTAACTAACAGGACTGTGTGAACATCAAATAGGGTTTTCAACCATGAGGTGTAAATTGCACGATCAATTTTGGTTTCTAGTTTACTTTTTTCTCCGTGAAACGCTAAATATTAGCATTTTTAACGGTAGATCTCGGCAATTATGTTGTCAAAAAGCTCATTCCTGACTCTTAAACGTGTTACTACTGACTATAGGTTTGATCTGTAACTCTTATCACGTAGGAAAGGGATATAAGATTAATAATTCCACAGCGTTGCCAAAGTCTGAGCACGGAATTTAAAAAACTTTATTACGAGGAACGCAACTCACCGAAGAAAGATCTAAGTCCCACTTGCCTTTATCGTATCGATTTTCAGTGACGGAGGCAAATCACTTACCTCTTTACGCACTACTTAACCTTGTGAGAATATTTACACGTCTGAAACGGAAGAAAACACCACATTTGATTCGATGGTGTCTGATTGCACTAATGAAATTATCTAATGCCGAGTGAATGGCTGATTTACTTTAAGATTGGAAGAAAATACGAAAAAGCTCTGAATGCTGTTAAAAATATTTTAACAATAATTTTTCTTAATTATAAGGCTCATGTTCTATTCACAGAGAACTATCGACTACAAGAGACATATGAAAACCACTTGATTATTAAGCTTGTCTCGGTGAGTGTTTTTTTTTTTAATAACTTCTTTGAAGCTGAGCTAAAGCTAAGTCATTAGATGCAACATCTCACGCTAAAATTTTCCTTTTTTCACTCATTATTTTCTTGCAGTTCCAGTTCTTCAACGCCTTCTTGGCACTGTTCTACATCGCCTTCTACCTCCGAGACATGGACAGGCTTAAAACCGTAAGCAAATATTATCTAATCTTAACTATACAAACGCATTTAACTAAAGACAATAGAAAGTCTTTTTTGAAAGCATGATTTAGAATGTCTCTGTTGAAAGCTCTTTTGCTCTAAAATACTCAAAGGGTCGTGCCGAGCTTTGTATTAGTTCTCAGGAAACGTAGAGAAAACATTTACTTTTTTTCAATTCTAGCAACTTGCAGCGCTGCTCATCACTAAACAAGTGGTTGGAAACGTCAAGGAAGCTTTGGTTCCATTTGTGAAACAGAAGGTGAAGGAATGGAAACTAAAGAAGGAGGAAGCTAAGGCGAAAAAGGAGCTGGAACAAAAGGAGGGAAAAGATAAGGGGGCAGCTGATAAGAAGTCAGATAAACCTAAGGAATTGGACTCACCACTGATGAATCAGGCTGAAATCGAGAGTACCATGGCAGAATATGAGGTAACAAGAGTTCAAACGAACACTTTCTTCGTGCAGCGCTTTATATTTGTCATGACATTTACTTTGAATTCCTTGAAGTTATGGTCCGGTAATTAGGGTCCGGTCCGAACAATAATTAAAAAGCATTATGTAGTGTAAAAAGAGGTCAGGATACATTTTATCTTTCGTTACCAGGTCATCGTGTACGTCCTCTCCGAAGAATACTTTATCATTCCTAATTCTGCGCACTAGGAATGTCCGTTTTGTACATTTGTTCATAGATTTCTCTTCCTGATTAGATAGTCATGTTTGTTAGTCATTATGAAATCTTAAAATTTTTCGCACTTTGCTTCCCTCAGGACACTTTCGAGGACTACTTGGAGATGTTCATACAGTTTGGCTATGTGGTTCTGTTCTCTTCTGCTTTTCCTCTTGCTGCCCTGTGCGCTCTTCTTAACAACATCATAGAAATCAGGAGCGATGCTTTTAAACTGTGTACCAATCTTCGTCGACCGTTCGGAGAGCGAGTAGAAAACATTGGCACATGGCAGGTAACTTTTTCGCTCTCGTGAATCAGGCTTCCTTACATTGATTTCATTGCATTAGAGCATTTTGTCACTTCTCAATGTTCAAATAAAATGTTAAATTAGTAAAATGATCTTTATCCTGAAAAGTATCATGAGTCAGAGCATTTTTCTCGCAGGATCCTACATAAATCAAACTCTTTTCCCATAATTCCTCTGATGTCTTTCTCTCATAGGATGCAATGGAAGTCATGGGAGTGGTAGCAGTAATGGTCAACCTGGCTTTACTTGGCATGGGCGGCTCAGTTCAGCGGATGTTCCCCAACATGACAGTCACTGACAGGATCATTCTCATCGTTGTGCTTGAGGTCAGCTCAGAGTTTGAGCTCTTTCCCCAATATCTCCCTCTGCCTTTTAATTTCCTTCCTTCTCATAATTCTCTCTCCTCCACTACTCTTTAGCAGTCAGTTAAGACCATTTTTTTGCATCATGCAACTTTCCCATCTCTCCCTATGCCCCTCTGCCTAACAATTTCCTTTCTCCAATCATAAGGCCTTACAGTATGATGGTAGAACTTCTTGAATTAAAAAAAAATAGAAATTGAATTTATTTTATTGCAGCATCTTGTTCTTGGGATCAAGTTTGCGGTTGCTTACGCCATTCCTGACATTCCAGAATGGGTGGAAAATGAAATAGCCAAGATGGAATTCCAGCGGAGAGAGGCTCTGAAGGTACAAAATGCACGTTATTTTTTGCATAACGATCGAAGAAGCGATCATAATATTCATTCAATTACCGTTTTCCAAAACTTCAAGGTGAATGAAATTAATTAAGATGTCGAACTGATATGTGGCTTATTAGGAATTCGCTTGGTCAGAGAACAGTATAGGTTGCAAAAGCGTCGCTTTGCAGATATATAACATATTTACTACTCTCATGGTTTGAGTTTGAAATCTCATTTTAAAGAATTGTATGTTACGTTTCAGAGTGCTCCCAGCACACCCAAGAGTCCAAAAGATCCACAAGCAAAAGCTCACACCCCTGTGTAGTAAGAACACGGGATAATTTATAAGTCAACAGCAGGTCTGAAGGGGAAACCTCTTCATGTTTAGTTATGACTTCAAACGACTGCATTGCAGCGTTTAAAGGGATTTAGGATTTAGACACTTGTTTTAAAATTATTTGTACCAAAAAAACTTACATGTAAAAAAGAAAGATCGAGTAACTGTCAACTAACGGGCTAAGTGGGTTTCTGTGTTTTTGTGATTCTAATAATCCAATGAACCTTTTGATAGTTATAGGAAATTAGACGTTATGAACTTTATCGTAAACAAGTGACGAAATGACTAGGAAACATCTTTGGCTAATGGAAAATTCTCAATTAAATTATATAACTGGTTAACTAACGCTATTTTACGGTGATCGACAGACGAAGCGAAACTATCCAATGCCGGACGATAATGACATCATGAAGTAATGACTCGCTACATTCAGAAACAAAACTTCGGAGCATAACTAACCCGCTTCCTAACTCACCATATGGAAATAGAGTGTGTTCTATAGAAAAACCTCTAACACTAACACGACAGTGAGACTTAGCAACAATACTTGTATCTCTCCTTCTCTTTGTTAACACAAGACAATGTTAACAAAAAAGTAACTATAACGTAGCCATAACTGAAAAGTGAATTTAACTTCCATGATAACGAAATGATAACTCGTGTAGCGTTGCTAGAACTAAAGCGTTTCAAAAATCACTGACAATTAATAGACAAAATTACATAAACGGAATACTAATTCATTACCAATTCAAAACTGATGCACTAAAGAAAAAACGCATCACGTTAATTTCTGTAGTAAAGCTAAGAATCAACAGTTCCATTTATAGAAACTTAAACATGTAACGGTAACAATGCAAAGCATACTAACGATAATGACAGTAATAATTATAATAATTATCACAATAATTAGGATATAGACGACACTGATAACGATAACGAAGACTACTAACAAATTTCTCTCAAGGGAATTTAAAATATAATTTTATCTCGCATATTTCCAAACAAAGTCCATCCTTGATCACTTTTCAATACCACAGCTAATAGAGGAACAACAAATTAACCAATAGCTTGCTAATCGTTAGCTGTTAAAAAGTAATCACAGGCGCGAATCACTGTAAGACAAAACGAGACGAGCGAATTAACCTTTTAAATTAACTGAAACAGATTCACGTACTTTGCCAAGAAGCAGTTTGGACGTTTAATTCTTCTGTGATCGTCACACTTTACTGTTTCTTGAAACAGTATCAGCCGATCTCACAAAAAGTTATGCTAGCCCTGAAATATACGCCGAAGTTTGGCGATAAACTTTATGCGGACAGAGGGACAGTCATGATCAGAAAGTAGACAGACGCACAGACAAACAGACAAAAAGACACAGACAGGTTAAATACGAAATAACAGCAGCGAGCATTAGCTGTTATAACTGCGTGTAACCCTGAACTTGAACCCCTGGCCAAGCCAGCTAAAGATTTTAATTACTTTAACGAGCTAATCTGCATTTCATTACGATCTAGAAAACAAATCACAACTAACAAAACGTCAGCTACCACATTTTAACTAAACAGCATAACGGAATAACAAGAAACTAATTCGGCTAAACTCAAAACGACTAAAAAGCAGCTACTGCTTACCACGCCGCGATTAATTTTGAATCCATGTATTTAACCAAGAATCTAATAACGAGTCAAAGAGACTGTTTAAAAATCATAATACGTTTTTTATTTGCCATCATTAAAGATTCCTAATTTCAACCATGTTTTCTACTAGCTCACGATGCAACAATATTAATACTACTAAAAAACGAACTCAAAGGAGCCACACCGGTTAAAATTTTTATCATGGAATCAATAACAAAAATTCAGTGCCTCTTAAAACTAACAAGAAAGGTTGAATTAGTAAAAAAATTAGGGTTCTTAAAAATAGAGAACGAAAGCTTGACGAGAACGTAGATTTACAACTTAAAAAACTAACCCATTAACTTGATAGTTATTTAATTGCTACTGTTGTCTTTGCATAGTGTTCTTTGTAATAATATTAATTCAATATTAATCGGTAAGCTGGTGTTATCCTTGTCTGTATTATTTAACGCATTCAGACGACGTGTTTTCTTCAAGTTAGTTTCGACGACAGCTAATAAATGTGTAACCAAGAAAAACGAAAATCTGCTTGATTCAAACAACATACTATACCGCCTTCTGTAATTTACCAACATATTAACATGTAACATGTAACAACTGATTCGTTACTACTTTTATTTCAAACTTTTGTTCTCAAAGTAAGAAAAGTAAGGAAAATAATGCTCATAATACCAGGTAATGTAAAACATATAGTATTACCGAAATGTATGCACAGGACCTACGACAAAAAATGAACAGGTAACCCAGAAGAATTTTAACAGAGAAGTTGAGTTCCAGTCCACAACGATGTTATTAACATGACATAACAAAATACGAAAATGACAAGTTGGTAAACCACTAGTTATAAGTTATTATTATAATTTATGACAAATACATCACTGAGAACCTATAACTTCACCGAAACAGGATTCAAAGAAATCCAAACTAAGGGACAATAATCTAGCAAAAGATAACGACAACGATTTAGCTTCATATGGATCACGGAGCTAAATAAGACGAAGAACAATACTCAGACTACGACAGGAACAAACAATAGTGAACAAAAAAATGAAAAAAACCTGACCTTGGCTTTTTCCAATGAAATCGACAATAGATAATGATAGATAGAATTTTTAAACTACTTGTAATTAAGAGAAGTCAAAGAAATAAAAGACACTGATTTAGGAGAAAGTCGATTTTGCGGGCGACTTGAGAGTTAAATCAATCATGTGAAGTCTCCACTCTTTACATGTAGATGCAACTGATGCACATCTGGTTTTGTGAAGTTTATGAACAAATTAAAACAAAGCAGATAAACATTCTAAGTATCAGGTTCTAAAATTACTAGATTCAACCCAGTTTTTTTTTTCTTTTTTGTCATCAACTTTTAAGACTTCAACTTACAGTAGATTTTAAACTCTTCTTGGTTGGATATCACAAAATCTCGTCTTATTTGACAAATTTTTTTCAATATTTTGTAAAGAATAGTTTCAGTGCACTCACTTTTACAACCAGCAAAGACGGCTTCATTATCTAGAGAACTATCTGTATCTTTGTATTTATTTCATACTTTTACAGAGAATCAAGTTCTATATGTAAGTGCTAGAGAACAGAGCCAATAGGAAAGTAAAGAGTAATTTAAAGAGGTTTATCAGATATGATCAAGATATGCACTGTACAGGGAATAAAAGTAAAGTTACAGTTGGACTGAAAAATGTAGACACCTCTTTGCCTTATACAATGCCATAACTAATCATGACATGGAGTAAAATGTTTCAATTGCTCAGTATGAGCATTCACAGTTTAAGAACATATCTGAGCAGTTTTTTTCCTCGTACTTCCCTGAGCCGGCCACAATGTCTTAACATGGTAAGAATTGCCCTTCCAGTGGAGTCCATCTTCATTTGTGAGTATGTCTTAAGATCATCATCGATGAAAAAATACTCTCCTGTTGAAGAACAAAACCAATGCAGCTGAAATTTGAGGTCATGATGGAATGGGAAAGGGGAGAAAAATTAAAGAGTTTCGGGTTTCTGGATTACTTTTGAGACTCAGTTGGAAGTTACTCTCATTGACTACATGTACCTCAATCTACAGTGTAAGGTTTTGTAAGAATTTATTAGGCTTCCTTTCAAAAGGATTCACTCACATGAAAACATGTTTTCACCATGATCAAGCAATAACACCAGCACATGGCAATAATCATATTTGGATATGTGTCAGTCATCACACATACATACAGGCAATAGCTTTTTTTCTACTAAGGACACACACTGTCCATGTTCATGTGTATTTTAAGGCCAGTCTAGGTCACTTACCCTCTATGTCTGGTATCTCAGCCTCTTTGAAAGCCTTAAATACATAAATAGATACATGTCAGTAATTTATAAAAGAAGTGCTAATTGCATTACTGAAAACAGGAAATACCCAAGATGTGCAACTTGGGAACCAAGCATGTCTGCTGAGACTTTAAGATATCATATTTATAATTAAAACAGTCCTTTCAAATAAATTCAGAAAGCATGTATGGTATATCCTTCTCAACAGATGACCAGTGTTGCTGCAGTTTTCAAAATATATTAAGTGTTAAACCACCAATGAATTTCAAAAGACTGCAGCCACATAATAATAAGACTGAAAGAAAACCAAGTAAGTTCAGTTTATCATGTTTTCACTTCATAATGAGCAAAGCAAACAAATGGTTCTTGAAAGCTCAAATGTCTAGGGTTTTCAGGTTTTTATAAATCTTTGAAACCGTAAAAGCAATGTACTACAGGTGTTCCAAAGTTAGAAGTTAGTTGGCCATGGCCAGTGGACTCTGCTGAACAACATACGGCTCTGATCAACCTTGTATTTTTTCATAACTGGCTCCCCCATTGCTGAGCGAGGAAGACGTAGTATCTTGTATTTTGCTGTGATGACTTTATGGATTTCATCAATGGCATTGTTGACTTGGTCATAGGAGGTACGTCCCTTGATGTACCTGAGTAAGGTATGCGAGAGTACGTTATTTAAAAAGGGTCTATGAGAACAACACAAAACAAAGCAAAATAAAAAAAATAACAATAGTGAAATGAGCTTTGGAACAAATCAAGTAAAAGCTGCTATTATATCAACAAATATAGTTATAAAAAACCCTGCCACAGTCCTGTACTTCAGCCAGACAGTTACAAACAGAAGTATTCTAATGCAGGAAGGGGTACAAATATCTTCTCTCCTTGATTAGATAAATCTAAGTACAGGGAACTGGAAGAAGTCTATAATCTCAATTATTGAGATGTAGGGGTTGTTTAAATTACTTGTCTCTGGGTTAAATTCTTACTTTGGTATTTGATCAAACTCTTCAACTGTGAGATATGCTAACTTGGGAAACTCAAATCCATCCTCGCTTGATAGATCTTTAGCTCTGCGGGTCTTTCTTGGCTTTTTCACATTCTCTGTTGCAACTTCCTCTTTCAAAACAACTCTAAATGATCACAGTTATTTATTTTTACTTTGAAACTGTCTTGAAAAATGCTATTGAGACAAAATGGAAAAGATTGATATCTTACTACTGCTGTAGATGATTCATTTGCAGTTTTTGAAAGAGAAACAAACATCAACTGTAATGTGATTTCATCATATGTATAAGGATATAAAATCAATATGGCAAAGTATCAATGTGGAAAGTTCTTATTTGTCTTATGGTTTTGAAAGAACACTGTCAGTGGTACAGTGTAACAGTGATAAACCATATTTTAGTTCTCAAAAGCTGTAATGTTCACAGAACGTCAGAAATTCTACCAAATTCTCCTGGGATCAATTGAGCCCTGTCAACTTCTTTTGCTCTGGAGCAAAAAATACATGTATCAATATTTAGCAAATGAACCTCTCAATGCAGTGGGAGAGTAAGTGCACTCAAGAAGCTTGCCATGTGATAAGTGACTCCTTTAACTATAAAGAGAGGCTCTTAGTTAATATGCACCTTTTCATTCAGTGACTCAATTGTTTTACCTTTGTGATATCTTTTCAACTCCAGGGAGATGTGATGGGAGGTTGGATGCAATGTGTTCAAGTCTTTCTTTAAATTTTTGTGCAACATCTTGCATAGCCTTTATTGAAATTAAAACAAACATGTATCAAAAGAATGTTAGAATCATCCTAAGTATAATTATAACCACATTTCAGAAATTAAATATTTTATGATCATCAAATAAATATTGTTGGGAGATATAAGGCACAAAATGAAATAATGTACACACATGTCCAGAGGTAAACATGATCCTTGATAAAAGGGTTTCTTGATTGTTTCAGTCTATATCTAACCAGCAGTTTCTTGTAGTAGTACACAAGTTATGAGTTACCTCTCCTTGCTCCAATAACTTCTTTTCCTTTTCCAAATGTGCTTGAAAGCTACTTAGAGAAGATTCTATCTCTAGCAATTCTTTGTCCAGTGACCTCAACACAGAATCACAGTTGGCAGAACTTGCTGATAATAATTGAAGCAAATGACATAGTAAACAATGATTTATGTAACTGAGATGTTGTCGGAAGCACAAGCACCAGGTCCTGGTAATTTCAGATTTTTCATAAAAAGAGCTGAACCCTTCATTTCCTAAGCCTTGATTGTTAACTTTAAAACAACATATATCCTTAAGATAATTAATTTGATACCCAAGAGCCTGTTTAACGACGATTGGTTGAAAGTTATTCGGATAAAATAAGCACAGAATGGGGGATTCTCGTGAAAAATGAGCGGAAATACGGGATCAGGACAACACCCCCCCCGCACCCCACACCAGCTCCCCTTATAGACAACCCCCCTTAACCCCGCTCCCCTTTCAGACCCTGTATCTTTCAAAGGGTCCCGCAAATAGTTTACACTTCTTAGCTTGATCAATAAACCAAAGAGCTCTGCAATATTGCACTTTCTGGCACATCAAACCTAAAATCACACAAGTAAAAATGCATGGTGCACGGTATGGAATAAAAAATGGCTGATTGGTCTTTGACTTTCGGTAAATGATTTTGACAACGATTGAACGGCTTTACTTTGTACTTTCGAAGCCTTGAGACATCAACGATCAACCATGATACAAAATCTGCACATCACATTTTGGTTAACGATGGATTTCAATATAAATCATATTTAAATGCTGCCTTTGGTTTTTTTTATCTTACCTGCGCCTCTTAATTCCATGCATCGCTTTAAACTGGAGATTTTTGAAGAGAAAATTTCCGCCATTTGCTCTAAAGTCGCCGCCATTTTGAGTTTAGCGCCAATTTTTAAAAATACGACCGCTTACAAATTTATACTACAGGCGCAGATTCTTTGATAGTTCTCTGCTCGGACTCGTCTACCGGTCCCCCGATAAGGCTACAATGTTTGTAAAGCATGATCTGCCACAGGGCAATTTTCGCTTATAGCCACAGTTTTTTAATCAACTTATTTAGCACGTGTAGAATTATTGCCTTACATGGCCCCGAGCAAGTTTCTTAACCAGCTAATTTGCAATCACTTTTTTTTTTGGCTATCATTAACCCCTGTGTACAGAGGCTATACGGCTTTGAAGAAAACTTGCTTATTAGTGAAGTCTTTTAGTCTTTAATAATTAGAAAGTATTCCTAGACAGTGACTTTGTTGGAACGTAAAGTGAAGATAGCGTTTTTAAGTATATTTTCCTAGGCCTTGGAGTTCCAATATTTGCCCATACAGATACATTCTATATTTAGTTGTAGAAAATGCAAATCAAGCCAATATCTTTGATGGATCTCGCTAATTTCTTGTTTTCGCGGTCACAATCAATAATTCATATCGTGTTAAGTTCGTTTTTATCATTTAATGTGACCTCTGAAAGACACAAGGACAGATCTGTCTACATGTGCTCTTAAATATATTTCACTCGTCCTTACGTTGACGTTCCTTTCACTTTTAATGGGAAGATATCCTCCGTTTATGAAAAGATCATTCAAATAGATCTCTCGAATTCTCGATCATCATCATCCCTCTCTTTTTTCAGGGAAAGGTCTTAACTTTCTGTTTTGAGAATACACTGATGAAAATAAACAAAGACAAAAACAAAAGGTGCCTTGTCCTATTGTCTATGCGAAACAAGACAAGGGCTCTCTTGTCAGTAGGAACCTGGTTGTAAAAATAGAACAGGCAGAGCTTTCAATGGTCACACTCAGCTGTTTAGAAAGATGTAGAATAATTAAATTGCGAAGCTAATGACTAAAAGTTATAATTGTGAGTTGTATCTTTGAACCCGGTAAGAAGATTAAACGCCACCGCCGTCTACTAATATCACGCTTTCCTTTTGTCTTCTTTGTCAAGTTGAGAATGGACGAAGTTAGGAAATTGTACTCCCCTAGACAACTACACGACACGTTGACAGAGAGGGAAAATTGGAGCGTTAGACGCAGCAAAAATCCTATTGTCGTATTACATCATGTGGAGCCTTCATCCATAGGAAACGGGGTCAAAGTCGTACAAAACACTTTTATCTGCAAATCTATAGTTGTGACTAAAACCAATACAACCTTTGAACTCGCGCTTTTGGAGTGGAACTGATGTGGACACTGATTGAAGCAACACCGATCTGACCACCCAGAACTGTTTATGGACCTTTGCTTAATCCTTCACTTGGTCATAAGTCAGAGACAAGGCTGCTGTATAAACGGAAGTATCCCCTTAAACGGAATGGCTCAGATTTTTCGATAAAAAAAGAAAAACCTTTTTGTTACCTGCAATAAGCTAAAGCAATCGCGAATTTGTTTAAGCCCGAGGCGAAATAAACGACTTCTAGGCGCCAAGGAAATATCGAGCGAAATAACGTTGCTATGCTATCTTGGAACTCCAAAAGAAGGGAATACCTTCCACATTGCCTCTCGTAAAATAGCTAATATCCTCGTTAATTTTATCGCGGCTATTTTTGTTTTTGATACGGCGTTGAGTTAAAGGATTTAAGAGTTTTGACCACGAGTACGACATGAGAGCTAATAACCGTCGCGGTTAATTGAACCTTGTCTGTCAGTAACAGAGTTATTGGCCCTTGCTTGTAAATCACTCAAGATTTTTTCACGTGTACGAGAAATTCTACACTGTTTTTTATTTTTGACTGTAATATCAACGAAGAAATTCCTTATGATTGCAATCAGCTAGAAGTGGCAAAGTCGATTATGGCGCGACTGCTCTCTTTTAGGGTTACCTTGGCAACCAAAACCCCTTACAAAGCTGCGAAGGTGATCCTATGTTTTTTCAAATGAGTTGATCTTCTAAAACCGGAAGAAAAGCATTACTTACATAATAAATTCGGAACCTAAAGTGCAAAGAAGATAACAAAAGTCTGAAAACAAACTTAGCGGAAAAATAATAAAGGAAAAAAGCACGAAATGTTAGTAAAATCACGGAAATGGTATTTATTGAAAGATAAAACTTTCCTTCATAAGGCACTACTTAAAAAGATTTCAAAATATTACGACACCTTCGATAAGCACCGTTCACAATATTTCAAAGTTATTTTTAAAACGAATAAATTGAGACAGGCAATCTTTCCGGAGTGGCTGTGTTGTCGAAAAACAATCAGCTGTAAAACTTTTGACCGATCTAAGTAGGCATTGAAAACCGAAAAACTTATGGTGAACAAAAAAAAGAGATATTCAAATTTGTTGCTGTACTAGAAGGACATTCATAAACATTGTATATTTATATAGATATATATCAAAATACAATATAAATATAAAGTGGATTAATATAAATTTTCGATCTATATCGATATGTCCAAGCTATTTTATATATAGAAATAGAATTTGTTTCAAATGATATATTTCGACAAGCAAAAATGTGATGTTTCCTAGTTTTCTCGTAGCAACTATCACCGAAAATTGTGCGCCTAAAGCCACGGAATCTACATTCTTATGTCAAAATGAAGTTGTTCAAATATGTGTGTAGTTTATAATCTCATTACCCCATATGAAGGCTTCATAACTTTCTAATTCATCATTTACAGTTAGGCTTAAATATTAAGCATTCTGTAAAGTAAATTTTCTCATGCAAGGCATGCATTTGTAAAAATTTCGCGTTTAGCTAGCTCAACTTTTGATAAAAACGCATCTTAAATAATTGTATGATTAGATCTAATCAGTTAAATCAGCGCTTCGATGTCCACTCGAACGCTGGTACTCATAGGATACACTGCCAATCCCGTTGGCGCACTGTTTTTTCGTTTCCTCATTGGTGGTCGGGAACTCGAAGTGTTGGCCCTTGTACGTTTGTTGTCGTAGGATTCTTTGTCAAGGCTGCTCAATTGGATGCTGCTGAATGCTCTTTGTTTCGTTCTTCTTACTGCAACGTGGTTTTTGTCTTCATCAGACACTTCAAGACTAGCTTTGTTGTCGTTTGTATCTTTACTTATGCCATTTAATTGGGCACTGCTGTTGACTCTTTGTTTTGTAGTTTTCTCTGCTATGTGGTTCTTGTGTTTATGAGGCAACTCAACATTGCTACTTGCAAGTGGCTTTGTGTTGTTGACTTCATTAGCATTTTGGTCCTTGCCATGCAGGTTCAAACTGCTGCTTGACTTTGGTTTCGTCTTTGAAGCCATATCGAGTCCGTGATAGAATGGATCTGTTCCATCGCCGAGTGATTCGAAAGCCGAAGGAAATGAGGCGAGGGATCTTCTTTGCATAGCTGGCGGCTTATTGAATTTCACGCTTTTCTTTTGTGATCCATTTTCGGCATCTTCGTTTCCTTTTGGGAAATAGAACATTGGCATTGAAGGAAATTTATAGAGACGCTGTGAAGTCAAAACCCCTTGCTGCGGGTTACTCGACGAGCGCCCCAAGATTTCCTTCTCTCCACCTTCATTAGAGAGCGCGAACTCTTTCGCAGACCATCCAGCTTCTTCTGCAGTACGGGCGAAAGGGTAATGCGAGCTGCGTTCTTCTTCGCTGGCCTCAGAATTTACGATTTCTTCGTCAATTGACGATCCGCGCGAATCAGCTAGAGATTTCGTTGAATAAGCCTCGCTGGTTTGGCTATTTTCGTCTTGCGAGGAAATAACCACGTCAGGTTTAGGCCCTGAGGACAAAGAGGATGGTGAGCCATTAGATTCGGTTGTGTTGGCCTCTTTCCTTGTGGGTTGAGGCGCTTTGTAGTCGATGTTCTCCTCTTCTACCTCCTCCTCTCGTACGTTTTGTTTCTTTTTGTTCGCATGCCTCACGCATTCCACGGCAAAGGCAGACAGATCAGCATCTTTGAAATTCAAATACTGTCTCATACTTTCACGTACACTCAGGGCACTTCCCACCTTTAGAGTTGTCCCATCTGGAGCAGTGTTTCGTTTCCTTAAATTCGGGCGCACAGGTTTATTTCCTGTAGTGTCTCGAGCTTTATTTTCCGAGCACTTAGAGGTATCAGGTCTATTTTGTCCTTGTATTGCCTCCGTCTTACATGAGTGATTCTCACTGTTCGCAGCTGCGGAAAAATTTCCTTCTTCGACTGTATTTTTGACTTTTGGTGATGTGTCATCGATTAATTTCTTGCTGTAGCTTGCGGCTATTTTTGCTGCGCTGTCATAACCATTTTGTTTAGGAAATTGTTCAATAAGGGTCTGACATAGCAAAACTTCCTGCAAATTAGCACTCCTACGGCCGAGAGTTTGTGTAGGTGGCGGGTCACCATTATTAGTCATCTCACGATTTGGTTTACCCGACTTCATGAAAATGAATTCGTCTTCATCATCTTCCATCGGATTTTCTAATAAAACGTCATTTGTTCCTCCGGAGTTGTCACTCATCAACTTCACCTCGTCTGCGGTGTTGACACGAGCGTCTGGGTCGGAATTTGTGCTGTTGGCTCTGTTCTGCTCAGTCAAGTCAGACTTGCCAATATCTTTAGAAAGCGTGCTTAATAAATTCTGGCTCTCGTTTCTAATTAGATCCTCGTTCTCTCGTTGCGAATCGTGCCTTGATCCCTGTCCAGAGCTGGGTGATTGGGTTCCATCCTGCTTGCCCACTCGAACTCCAATGTTCCCCACCAGCTCTTTTAGCGCAAGTTCCAGCTCTTTTATCTTTTTCACCTGACTATCATTTTTCCAAAGTTTCGCTTCTGATGTCGAAGACCTTGAATTAGGACTTTCAGGTGGATTAAGACTGTCATCGGTAGAGCTGGCAGATTCCTCGCTTGCTCTTCTCTCTCGCATAGCGGCTATATATGACGCTCGCTCTACCCATTTCTGCAGCCGAGACTGAATTTGTTCCGATAGCTGTTCC